ATATAATTATTTTTCACACAAGAGAGAGCTTTCTTTTGGTGGTATTTAAACACCACAGTTTTTTTTTATTTTTTTATTAATTAAATAAAAAAAAGACAGAATATTTTGAAAAGAAAACAATATTTTCTTCTTTATTTTTTTTTTCTTTCTTCTGTTATAAAACATGACCAATAAAAAATTAAAAAAATAAAAAGTTTTCATGAATTTAGGCCAAAAATGTATTCTGCTACATGACTTGAATAAAAAGACTGGGAGGATCACTAACTGACACTGACGTCGCTAGTGACGCTAATGCACTGATCAGTGATAATACTGTACACTGACACTGTACTAATGACACTGGTTGGGAATGGGTTAACATCCAGGGACAATAAATGGGTTAACTGTGTGCTTGATACATGTAATTTTTGCTGCTTTTACTTATTAATTTGGTTGTTTTTTCTCCCGGTTTTTCAGGGAGAAGAAACAGCCAGATCACTGTTCACTGTACACAGAGTTCTGTTTGTTTGTAAACACAGAACTCTGTGTGTGATTGAACAAAGCCGATCAGCAGATTTCAGCCAAAATTATTGGCTGAAATCTGCTGCCAAACTCGTGCGGTGTCCGATCACAGCAGAGGTCAGCAAGGAGTACCTGGAAGCAAGCCAGCAACATACATGTACATTGCCTTGCCTGCACATGCTGCCCGCTTGCAATAAATTTATTGTGAGCGGTCAGCAAATGGTTAAACACAATAGTAGCTCTTGTATTTGAAAATGCAGATATATCATTTGTAACCTCAGCTGTAGTGTTGAGCTGTCCCATTTTACAGAAATTAACCATTTAGCTTAAAGCGTATTACCTAAAGTAATTTAAAGTAATCACAGTGATTTTGTGGGGGGTAGTGGACAGTGTCAGTAGGGAGTGAACAGGGAGCACTAGTATATATTGGGCTATCATTAGATTGGGATGAATAAACAGAACCTATACCCCCTTATATCGGAAGGAAGGGAATGGATGGAAAGAAAGAAAGAAAGAAAGAAAGAAAGAAAGAAAGAAAGAAAAGAAAGAAAGAAAGAAAGAGAAAGAAAGAAAGAAAGAAAGAAAGAAAGAAAAGGAAGGGAATAGATGGAGGGAGGAAGAAAGGGGAGGGAAGGAAGGTAGGGAAGGAAGGAAGGAGGGAGGGAACAGATGGAGGAAGGAAGGAAAGAAGGAAGGAAGAGGGGTGGGAGGAAAGAATGAAGGGAGGGGATGGAGGAAGGTAGGAAGGAAGGAAAAAATGGAAAAAGTAATGAAGGTAAAGGAGGGGCAAGCAAAAGTAATGAAGGTAAAGGAGGGAAGCAAGGAAAGGAAGGAAGGGGAGGAAAGGAATGGGAGGGAAGGAAGGGGAAGGGAGGGAAGGGAGAAGGAAGGAAAGGGAGGGAGGGAAGGAAGGAAAGGGAGGGAGGGGATAGGGAAGGAAGGAAGGAAGGAAGGAAGGAAGGAAGGAAGGAAGGAAGGAAGGAAGGAAGGAAGGAAGGAAGGAAGGAAGGAAGGAAGGAAGAAATGATTGAAGGATGAGGGAGGGAAGGAAAAAATTAAGGAAGGGATAGAGGAAGGAATGAAGGTAAGGAAAAATGGGAGGAAGGGAATGGAGGAAGGAAGGAAGGAAGGAAAGAAGAAAATGAATGGAGGAAGGAATGAAGGAAGGGGAGGAAGGAAGGAGGGAAGGGAGGAACGAAGGAAGAAAAAGGAGGGAAGGAAGGAAGGAAGGGAAGGGAAGAAGGGGAGGGAGGGAGAGCGAAAGGAAGGGAGAGAGAGAGGGCAGGAAAAAAGGAAAGAATGAAGGGAGGGGATGGAGGAAGGAAGAAAAGAGAGGGAGGGGAATGGATGGAGGAAGGAAGGAAATGGATGGAGGAAGGAATGAAGGAAGGGGAGGGAAGGAAGGAAGAAAAGGGAGGGAGGGAGTGGATGAAGGAAAGAAGGGAGGGAAGGAAGAAAAGGGAGGGAAGGAAGGAATGGAGGAGGAAGGAAGGAAATGAAAGAAGGAAGGAAGGAAGGAAAGGAAGGAAGGAGGAATGATTGGGATGGGAGGAAGAGCATGAAAGGAGGGGAGGGAAGGAAAGAAGGTGAAGGGAGGGGATGGAGGAAAAGAAAGAAAAGAATGGAGGGAATGGGAATGGAAGGAAGGAAGGAAGGAATGGGAGAACGAGGGAGGGATAGGGAGGGAGGGGGGATAGGGGAGAAAGAGATAGAGGGGGAGGGAAAAAGGAAAGATTGAAGGGAGGGATGGAGGAAGGAAGAAAAGGGAGGGAGGAGAGAGGAAGGAAGAATGAGAGGGGGGGGAGGGGGAGAGGGAAAGGGGGGGAGAGAGCGGAGAGAGAGGAGAAGATGGTTGAGGGGGGAAGGGAAAAAGGAATGAAGGAAATGAAAGAAGAGGGGGATAGGAGGAAAGAATGAAAGGAGGGGAGGGATGAAAGACTGAAGGGAGGGGATGGAGGAAGGAAGAAAAGGAAGGGAGGGAATGAATGTAGGAGAGGAAGTAAGGAATGGAGAGATGGGAGAGAGAGAGAGAGAGGGAGGGGAGAGCGAGAGAGAGGAGGGAGAGAGAAAGAGAGAGAGGAGGGAGGGGGTTGAGAGAGAGGGAGGGGGAGGGGTGTGGAGGAGAGAGAGGGGGGGGAATGAGGGGTATGAAGAAGTAAGGGGAGGGAGGGGGAGGGGGAGATAGAGAGGGAGGGAAAGAGAGGGGGGGGGTGAGTGGAAGGGGGAGAGGGGGAGGGGGGGAGGGAGAGAGAGAGAGGGGGGTGAGGGGTGGGAGGGGGAGGGAGGGAGGGGGGAGAGAGGAGAGGGGAGAGAGAGGGGGGGAGGGTGAGTGGTGGAGGGGGGGGGGGGAGGGGGAGGGGGGAGCTACAGAGGGAGAAAGAGAGGGGGAGGGAGAGAGAGAACATTCAGAAGCATCACGGAGCTGCCGACTGATCTGGACAGGGGAGGCAGAGCAGATCCTCTCTCCTCTGCTCTGCCGTGGAGGATGGGGGGTAGGGCTGGACACTGTCAGAGAAGACGAGGCATCAGAGACCTGTGGGGCGGGGGATGAGGTGCACAGAGGGGGGGGCCCAGGAGGGAAATCCGATGCAGAGTCAGTGATGATAGGTGCAGTGGAGGGACAGTGACAGCACCAATCTCCCTGCATGGATTTCAACAAGGCAGCTGGAAGCCTCCCCTCCCGTCACCCGACTCACTCTACCACCACAGTGACAGGTGACCTACTTCTGGGTCAGGATCTGAGATTGCCTCCTCCTCCGCTCCCCACACTGTCACTGGACAGTGATCCTCTCATAAGCCCCCTACTGACCCTGCGCCCTCGGGCAATGCCCGAATGGTCAGTCCGCCCCTGGAGAGGTGTGTGTTACAGCGCTGAGCACACCCATAAGGTATGACCCAAGTAAAAGTAATCTACAAGCAATTTTGTTCATAATACTATTATATAATAATGGGGTGACATATATCATTATACCGATCATAGGCCATGCTTGTAAGTAAGTAACACTCGGAGGAACCACCCAACAACAAACCACCAAAGAGTTGTGTGGCACAACCATACAGAGAGACTGACTTGTCTTGTCTTGTGATAGTAATACAGACAGCATTTTGGGTGATGTACCGCTTACGTAGCAAATCTCCAGTAGAGAAAAGTTGGCAAGAAAAAATACATGGGGGTCTGAAGGTTTAAGCTCAGCATGTAGGCAAGAATTATAGACATGTTTCCAAGTACAGTGATGATGTAGATCAATAATAATAGAATGAAAAGGTAACATTTCATTGCTGGGTTCTCAGACAGTCTTACAAGGATGAAATTGGTGACTGTTGTCCTGTTGACTTCATGCATATTGGTCTGGAGAGAAAAAATAAATTCCAAAAAAGGTCAGCATGTGCGAATTGAGGTACCTATAAGCCTGCTCAATAAAAGTGTATAAAATTTCTGATTTCAAACATCACATGTGACTGTTGCTGCTTCTGATATACTGGAGGAAGACGATGAGCATGTTAGGCAGCTGGAGGTACTGCTTTTTACACAGGGAAATTTTCTAACCTAATGAAATATCACAATGAAATTGGAGGCAATCCTTTACTCTCCTGTAGAGAAGAGGGAAAGATCCAAACTATACAATATGACCCAAATTTTCTGGATATCTAACCATCACACCTACCTACAATATTTGGTCAACAGTTTGAGGACATCCCTTCAAACTATTGAGATAAAGTATTCCCAGTGAAGGACCTCTTCTGACTCAGAATGACTGTGTCTTTGTGCATGTTTTGAAGTTTGAAGTGCGGAGGAAGGTGAGCGGTGTGCAATGTCCTGACCTCAACCCCACTAAACACCATTGTAATGAATTGGAAAGCAAACTGCTTGCCAGGTTTTCTTGTCAAACATCAGATCAAACTGTATAGTATGATATCTCAGCAACCAAAGTGTTATCTCATGATATGCTATAATTATCATAACACTATATAGTATCATCTCATTGCCAATACTGCCAACATTTTTATTTTACTGTTATTTAACTTACTATTCTCCTCGATCCCCTCATGTTTTGCATTGTATTGGTATTGTTCTGTCACGTGTTCTGTCCCCCTTTGTAATGTACAGAGCTGAGCGAACCATTGGCGCTTTATAAATACTGTATAATAATATTCTTGTGGAACATACTTGTATGCAGTATGTTTTCCTTGCATTGTAAAACTTTATAATCTTTAAATAAAAGAATGTATAAAAAACATCAGATCAACATTTATATTCTACTCATATCTACAGCCTGCATCTTATACACTCATCAGCCACTTTATTCGGTACATCTGTTCAATTGCTTGGTAACAAAAATTGCTAATCAGCCAATCACATGGCAGCAACTCAATGCATTTAGGCATCTAGATGTACTGAAAACGACTTGCTGAAGTTCAAACCAAGCATCAGAGTGGGGAAAAAAGGGGATTTAGGTAACTGTGAACATGGTATGGTTGTTGGTGCCAGACGGGCTGACCTGAGTATTTAAAAAACTGCTGATCTACTGGAATTTTCACACACAACCATCTCTGGTGGTCGCATGAAAAAGGGGAGGAACAGAGAGAAGAAAGGATCAAACAGCCTTTTTACACAATGCAGAGGATTAACCCCTTAGGCTGCATTCATATGTGAGCATTTTGTAGTGTGAAGCTCAACGCTCCAAAACATTTAGGAGAGATGATTCACATCAAGTCGCCTGTAGCAGCACACCTGAAGCTCAAAAAAGTTTTGGAGCTACTTTTGTAGCTCAATTTGGGCAGATGTGCACGTTTTTTTTTGCGCGTTTTCATTCCAATTGAAAAGAGTAGAAACATGCGTTTGTGTGTGTTTGTGTACGCAGTTTGTGTGATTTTCTGATCAAATGAAAAAAATGTCAAATAAAAAATAGTATTAGTAAATGAAAAAATAAATGTAAAATAAATATAAATACACATATGTATAAAAAATAATGATTAATAAATCATACATAAATAAATAATAACTAACTAACCCCTAACCTTAAAAAATTAAATAAATGATTATTATTATTATTATTATTATTATTAATAATAGTAAACACACAAACAAAAACAAAATATTATCAATAACAACAATAATAATAATAAAAAATTATTGTTTTTATTATTTTATTACTTTTTTAGGTTTTGGGGTTAAGGTTATGGGTTATTTATTATTAATATACTAATTTACTATTACAAGTATTTATTTATGATTATTTTTATTTATGTATTTATTTTCCATTTATTTATTCATTTTATTTGTATTATTATTATTATTATTATAACAATAAATAAATACATAAATAATGAAGAATAATAATAATAAGTAAAATACTATAAATAAAATAAATAATAATAAAATAATAAATAAAATACTAATCTCAACCCAAACCCAATCCTAACCCTAACCTAACCTTAGCTAACCCCTTACTCTAACAAAAAACAAAATAATAAAAAATGAATAATAATAATAATAATAATAGTAATAATAAAAACTAAAGCTGATGGAAAAACTAAAAAAGAAAAAACCTAGCAACAAATGATGTAACAGATTATATTTTTTTCTATTGGCTAATAAGAAACACCAAAGTTCATAAACGCCTAAAAAATGCGCAAAAAAAATGGCAAAACGCGACAAAGATGCTGAAAACGCTACACTCAGATGTGAATGGAACCTTAGTGAGTATAACAAGCATACTTTACTACATACACAGACTGATTTCATTGTTGTGGATTTAGTAACACTTTAAGCTATACTCACAATTTTTTCAGTATTCTTTTCATCAGTGTAACATGAAAAGGGAAAAATGCGCTCAACTGACAGGTGTATTAATTAGCAAGTAATTATAATTTGGGGTTGTGTCAATTTGTACAAGTAACATTAGAATCACTCTAACTCTCCCCCTCAAAAATATTCAGACTACAAAGGCAACAGTTATGAGATGCAAAACCTACATTTCCAAAAAAAGACAGAATGATGTACCCAAACCACCATGCATGGGTAAAGATAACAAAGTGTATACCTTCAATCAGCTAACTTTTACTCAATGAAACAAGATTTAGTTACTCCAAAATAAACTGGAAGCAAATGAATGCAGTGATACAAATGTAAAGCTAGGATGTCATGTAACAAGAAATATTCTAGGAAATGAAGGAAAGGAGCAATGAATACTCATGATCATTTACTGCAGGTTTACTTTTTCTATCATATATTTGTGTTTGGGTGCTGCCCCCTGCTGGTTAGTTGTTCTCAATGTTCCCTTCTAATAAGCAGCATGAGGAATTTCACCCAATTACTTCTCTGAACTCCCCTGCCACTTCACTGGGCAAGAATGTGGGCAGTCAGTGAACGAATACAGAGCGCTGTCATTTTAACTTCAGCTGAATGGTGCATGTCATGATACAGCCAAAAGACAGCAAAGATTTGGATAAAATTTTATTTCTATAAACATTTTTAATTTCGTAACCAGTGAAAAGTAAACAGTTATAGGCTCCATGTACACGGGATGTTTGGAAACACTTCTGAATGAAGGAACCTGACTGGAAAACGTAGGTTGAAAAACGTCTGTTTCACCGCATTTGCATACCACGTTTATGCGCGTTTGTGAGCGTTTGCGTTTAGAAGCGTTTTTTTAAAGATAACCTCAGGAGACCTTCCAAAATGCCCAGAATGCACTGAAAAACAGTAAATAATTAATTATTTCAGACATAGAGAGAGCAGAAGCAGAGAGAGCAGTATTTGTTGAGATTACCTGTGTTTTTTTTTTTTTTGGTGGTGTTTGGATGTGTTCCAGCTCATTTCTGTGCAGAAATTATTGCAGCGGCGTCTGAAATATTTTCTTTCATGCAAAACCTCAAAGTATGGTATACCAGGTCCATTTGAGTACCGGGAAAACGCTTTGCATGCATTTTTCATGATGAAAAAAGGCTCTGGACAGCATTGGGAAATGGAACATTAAAAAAAAAAATTCAAACGCAAACGCTTATAAACGTGGTTAGCCACGGTTAGCCACGTTTAGCCACGTTTACACATGTTTACAAGCATTTGGCATTTGAAACGCTGATAAAATCTACTACTGATACTACTGATCGCAAGTTTTCTGCGTTCAAAAAACGATTGTAAACTTACCTGCCTGTAAACGACATAGTGTACATGGACACATAGGAAAACATTAGGGAGAGTTCAGGGGCTGCTGAAAAAAAACACACAGAAAAGCTCCTGAACGTGAGTTTATCAGCTGCAGTGTACATGGAGCCTTAAGTTTAGACGTACAAAAGCAATAAAAGTGAGCGCTCTTATGGGTAAGCAGCTAGGCACTCAAGGAAACCAAATAAAGCCTTAAGGAAAACGCATAAAAAACGTGCAGCGCTAAAAAGACAATGAAGCAGTCATTCATAGCACCTGCCTGATCCAGCAACAGTAAAGATTCCAGAGAAGGGAGATCCTGTACACAGGCACCTGAACCCACCTATCCCTTAAAGGGACCTCTGGCCAGCTGGATCTTCTTATCATCCCGTGTGCTCCTGTTACTACCACCCACTCAGAGGGAGGATTATCTCCTTGTGTTCCTGACCAGACCAACCACCTAGAGGGAGGATATATCTTCCCCCATCCCAGACCAGACCCTTAAAGGAGGCTTCTGTGGATTTTTCTTAATGCACATTTACATTGTGCATCTGGTGAGTGCACAATCTCTCTACATTGCTTGGAACATCACTGCGGATTTTAAAGGGGAACACACTATAAGTATATGACTCCTCTCATATACTTGCTCACCATATGTCTCCTTACTCACTGTTATACTGCAGCCAGCATTACACCTTCTTATAGTCACTCATCACTCATCTTGATTTCATCATTCATTTATTACTATAATGTATATCCAAATTTCTTTCCATAGTAATTATTTTAGGTTTTATCATGATTGCCCACCCACTTTGAATCTGCTTCTGGCTTGTCCCCTTGGGTTCTTGCGGAGTCGTACCTCCACAGCTCCCGAGTGAGACTCCCCTGGTGATCATTATTTGGAAATACTGTTATATGCATTTTTAGCTGATTTTAGGGTCCCTCTGGTGACCCTTGAGATAGGAGCCACTTTGTACTTACCAGATACCACTAGGTTGTTATATACTTGATGTTTTACCTTGCAGATATTATACATGCATCTACTCCTGAAGAAGTGAACTGAGAGTCACGAAACGTGTCGAGTTTTGGATTCAATGTTAATGTAATTATGTAGTGACATCTGGA